AGACTTTATTTTAAATCAAGAAGAAAGTAGCTGAATGAAAGCGGGTTTCTGTTTCATGTAAGTGACTTTTCTTTTTATGTGAGCATCTTTTCTTCTTTGAACAAGCATTATTTTCTTTATTAATTCATGAGGAAATTCTCTCGGTGGTAAATTCGAGCTTATTTCTGCTTGAATCAAGTCCCTCTTGCTCTAATGAAGTTCAAACATCATGCTAAACTTTATTGAATACAGATACTAGGACTTACATGTATTCACATGTGGACTTATTAACTTTGGGTCTCAATTGGTAAATGGACCAAAATTCACCTGCCGAAAAAACGCGTGGACGTAAACTACTAGAAAAAAAAGGTGCGTGGACAAAAAATTGTTGTCGAAATGTCCTATAACCAACTCCGCAAACCGAGACACGCATTTCTGCAGTTTCACCATCGGTATGTCCATTGCGGTTTTTCCGATTTTACTTTTCGAAGAGAAAAAAGCCAATTTTGTACCTTGTTGATACAAAATAATCTGATAACAAAGAAGGAAAATCAAAGAAGTTTTCAAGAAATTACGTTCATTTGTTTTCCAAAAAAAACAATGAAGTATGACAAAAAGACTGTAATGTCGTAGACAGATATACGTGGTTTCACTCTTTGGCCATTGATATGAGAGATTGGGACATTTCGTGGAATATTTCATTGAATTCACTTTCGATGATGTCAATTAAGGGACCTCAGGTCATTTTGAGCCAAAATTGGCCCCACCCTGGCGCGGAAATTGGACTCACTTTGAATATCTGAAATCGAGCGTTTATTTGACGGCAGAGGGTATATTTGACGAAACTACTTGGTTGCAGTTGGCCATCGAAACTCTTAACAACTTATCTCTAAAAACCGAAATCTAAATTTTTCATGATAATTACGAGTTTGGATCCTAGCAAATCACAGCCCCATCAATTTCGACGTCGAAGTGTAAACATTGAAACCAAGTTTTGAAAGGTATCGAAAAAGCTCCTGTTCATTAGAATATCAACTCGTGAAATACGGCTGTGTTACTATGGCAGATCTGATGAATTTATGAGGGATGTTTTAATTTTACATATTACTCTGTGACGCTGGGAACTAACATTTAATGGTAGATGTCTTTTTGACGTAAGAAAAAAAAATAATGCATTAAAATTTCAGTTGGAAATTATTCATGTATCTGAAGTTACTTTTATGCATCGCTGTATGATTGCGAGGTTTTTATTCAACTTTTTGGGAAAAGAAAAAAGTTGAAAGTTCAACACACATACTCGTAAAGTAAAGATGTGGCCCGCTATAAAAAGTGAGTGTAGTATGAAATGAATCATGAATAATGTTGCAGCGACGAAACTTAATGAAATATTTATTGTTTGAAAAGTAATTAAGTGAATGCCCTGCATCCCTGAGTGAACTTGGCAATTAATAATTTCAAAAAGTTTTACTAAGTTGGCGGAACGTGAAATCATTTTAATGGCGCACCTAGTCAGCATCGCCTCGAGGACTCGTAAATTCAATGATTAAAAGAACTTCCGACGGGAGTTTATGGATGGTGACAGTGAAAACATTGACGCTAGCAAAATTAAAATACACACTCCAGCATTGCGACACTTCCACTCTTTAGAATTTTATGCTAAACCAATGCCGAATCAGTGAATCAGTTGAAACAATCGTGTAATAAATCGTGGAACGAAAATGTATGTTCAAGGTGCTAAATTTTGAATTTCCTGAGACAGAATTTAAATATTTGATTGTGTCAAACTACAATAATTGTTGTGAGACTTGCGTCGTCTGCCTAGGTGGTGCGCAAACCATGGTATCTTTCACCTTACACTGGAAAAAAAAAAAAAAAAAAAAACACACACACACATTAGATCTAGAGTCCAGACTCTTGAAAACATTGACAAGAAAAAGGACTCTTGATTCAAGCAGGTTTAAGCTTAAATCAAAAAGAAATCCGCTTAAATTAAGAGACTTGGTTCTTGATTTAAGCTTAAATCTGATTGAATCAAGAGTATTCTTTTCTTGTCAATGTTTTTAAGAGTCTGGACTCTAGATCCAATGTGTTTTTTTCCCAGTGAGCTTAATAAGACAAGTGCTTTTCAACTTCTTTTCGCTCTAGCAAAATTATGCATGATGCCATTCAAAGTAGGAAAAAAACCATTATGTGTGGGTGATGATGTCAACCGACAATGTTTTTTTCGACAGTTGCGGTACCTTCGTTAATATTAGACTTAAAACTTGAAAATTGGAACTTTCCTGCTCTTTTGCCAACCTATAGAGTTCAACCAGCGGCGAGGCGTGAATTATCGATTATCGATATTTTCCCATTTAAACCTATGGTAAAGAATCGATTATTAAGGTGTTCGTTGTGAACATCCTGTTTATCGATCCTTTTCCATGGTTTTAAATGGCAGATCAATCGATGCATTGCAAAGCACGCCACGCCACGCCACTGATTTTAACCATCGAAATAAAACTAGCGGACCTGACTTATTGACTACTATCATTCACGCCAAGCTGAGTGATGTACTGACTTGATTTTCAATGCTTACGTTTTTTATCAGTCATTGGAAATACTTCATCGCTCTTTTCCTTATCAGCCATCTGCAGCTCTTCGTCGTTCTTTTCCTTATCAGCCATCTTATGACGTCCGAAGTTGCACTATTAAATATATAATTAAGCCAACATGCGCCAACGCTGACTCTAAGCAATAGGAAATATTCTGGTTTAATCCGGCGAAAACTTTGCCTCACACAACACTTCACTGCACGATAGAAAAACGGAACCTCCTCGGTGAAAAAATGAGATTTCTTCTGGGAAGAAAAACCGAACTGTATCCCTCATGTGATTCTTTGTTTATAGATGCACATTTTGGTATAAATTTCACCTTCAACCTTAAATAAAATTATTAGCTTCGAACTAATAACCGAGAGCGGCAGAGCTTTACCGAAGCACTTCTACACTTTATCGCGGTTTAGTCTTTTTTAAGTTACGAAGCGTTATTTTTTGATAACAAGATTCAGCTTTCAATGCTGCCGCACTAAGAGAAAATCGCTGATCACACATTTGGATATTGCCAAATTTCCACCGATACAATATGAATTTTCCGGAGGGCTATTGAACTTTCCCCTCTGAATATTTTATTAACGGTCCACTTAACTTGCCAGTAAATCAAAGGAAAAATAGGCTCAACTCCTCGCAGAAACACATTTTTTATTCTAAAAAAGTAGGCAAGGCTTAGGTTCTCATGTTGTGTCCCTCCGCAACTGGGTAGAATTAACTTTACATATTTAAATTATGGACATTTTTTGACTGAAGAACTAAAGAACATAACCAAGGAGTTTTAAGATTATTTTTGATGAATTTTAGCCAAAACTAAGTATCAAAACACAAATTTAATGGTAATTTTTGACCAAAGTATCAAATTATGACTACAAACAACATGCAGGGATCGTAATATTAGCCGAACTCTGATGAAAATAAACACATTTCCCACGCGGAGAAATATGTCAAGTTGAAAGTCAGCAGTGGGTAAATGACTGATAACAGAAATAAATACCAGCGGGCGGCGCGGCGATTTGAGATTGCCCTTGGCCTCTTCCGAGATCATTGCCAATTTACTCTGTTGCTCTCTATACTGTAACACTTTTTAATTAGAATATTATCTACACTACCGCTTGTACTTTACGCCGATCTATATTCCATGTTACATTTACGCATTACTGTCGAAAAGTTTCCCCGGAAAACATCACAATTTCCGGGCTATAATCTTGGATAATAAAAGAAAAAGTGTTTTAATTGGAGAATTCACAACATTACCATGTAATATTCAAAAACCTGTGTCATATTTCCAAAATCTTATTCAGGGCTCATTTAAGAGAAAACACCTGTCGGTGGCCGCAGAAATTATGGAAATCGGCTCAGTGAAACGGTGGAACAAACTGTGATAAATATTAAAATACTTTAAGGGGTCAGAGAGCTCATGGTAATGATACTAAAAATTATTTGCGGGTTTTGATTTTTTAGCAGGAGTATGTAATGTACTCGAATTGAACATAAAAACACTCATAATTTATTTCTTTCGAAATGGTGACTTGGTTCGCCTTGTTGAAATTACTTCAAATACATACATATAATGCGTTGGCATTGCAATAGTTCTAAAAGGCCGTTTACAAATTTGAAGCGCTGAAAATCGGATTTTTTTACTCCTTCCTCTTCTCATTTACGCATCCGTACTAGAGGCCTACACTCCTTTGAAAAAATGACTTAACACTTTAATTACTTCCGTTCCCTGAAATTGATGTGTAGTGATCTATTTGAATAAAAAATTGTCACCTTGCATGGATTTTCAATCTGAAATGTTTGGAAAATCGACGCAAAGCGCTCCCTCCCCCTTCCCACGATGTACCCGTAGAGGGCTTAGAGCCTTCCTCACCCCCGCCTAGAGTGTCACTAATCTTATGAATGACCCTCAATAACGTCACCACCGTTCTACGACGGCGTTAAGGGTCATTTCCAGTTCTTATGGGCATTTTTTACATTTATGGACGATGCACATGCCAAATGGACCTTCTAGCGCGGTCGACAAAAAGTGTACCCCTCACGAGGGGATCACCGATTCATTGAGAAAGTTTCTCGTGTGATTACCTTCTTGGCTGTAAAAACTCGATGACGAAGAATAAAATAACTAGAAGCGGATCCTGCAGATTGGCAACACCGGTTTTTCCCTACTTGGATTACATTTTGCAATAAGGATCCACTATTTCTGGCCTCTCTTCAGAAACAACATACACGTCATTGGTTTCTCTATGCAGACATGTGCTTTTATGGGAGAGTCAGAGATAGTGGCTCCTTATCGCAAAATGTAATCCATTTAAACCTGTGTTGAATAATCGATTCTTGTCGGAGTACTCGGGTTCTCCGAGAATCGATACATTTTCATAGATTTAAATGGAGAAAACAACGTTGCCGAGTTGGTGAACGAAAGAGACTTACATGGTCGTTCCTCTTCCTCGTCCTCCTCGTCGTCGTTTTTGTTCTTGTTCTTGTGTCGGTGGTGGCGCCTGTGCTTCTTCTGCCCGGGTAGGTGGACGCCGATGAACATGGCTGCTCTGTGACCTGAAACAAATCCGTCGCCGACATTAGCGCACTCACCTTCGCAATCTCTTATAAATAGTTACACGTAGGTGCCGGATCAGGTAAAACCGAGCCCACGTTTTCTGAGCCGGTGCTCCCGTTTCCCGGAACTAGTACCGAATTTCGGAACTTTTTTAGATTTTCATGGTTTTTTTCACGGAAGTTTTGAAAATCCTGGAATGCTCCGGATCTTTCGCATTTTCCGGGACTTTCTCGAAACTTTTGAAACAATTTCAAACGATTCCCGGAATTTTTGACGGGCATGGAATGCTGGGAGCACTGCTTTGAGCTTGGATGGGTTTTGAAGGGATTACCGAGAGCCGTATAAACATGGAAACTTTCCTAAACAGCTAGAAGCAGTGGCGTGGCGTGCTTTGCGATATATCGATTGTTACGCCATTTAAACCAATGGAAAAGGATCGATAAACAGGGTGTTCGCAGCAAACACCTTAATAATCGATTCTTTACCATAGGTTTAAATGGCATAACAATCGATATCTCGCAATTCACGCCACGCAACTGGCTAGAAGGAACTACGTCTGAATGAACTGAGGCATTTGGAGGACAAAGCGCACAGGTGCAGTTTATGACAAAATTGAGGTATTACTGCTTTTAACTAAAACTAGTCTTAATGTATATTCCGTGAATAATTCACGTCCAAATTCCCATCATTAGGAAATTATTTTTTAGGATTCTTGGTCTTTTCTAGGATGAAAATGAACAATACCATTTTTAGGTGATTGAAATAAAATCGGTCGATCTTTAATCATCCAAACGATTTCCAGGAGTCTTCCGGCTGATCAGTGACAATTTGACAAAAGACGGAGGCATCTCTTAATAACATTTTCCGTGCCGAAGCTACTGAGTCCATTTTCTCAAAACTTCATTTTTGCACTCACCGCTCTTCTCGCTATCACGTCAGCGTAGGTGAGTAGTCCAAGCACCGATCTTCGGTGGCGCATAAAGTTGGCAACGCTGCATTTTAGATGGCACCATACGGAATCTAGATGCACGTACGTGTCCCTAATGGCCGTAACGATCCCCGTCACCGCGACGCAGGAACTGTCGCTCCCCATTCAACGTGTCTCACATCCCTGATTCCATGCATGGAATTACTGGAGAAAACTATTTAATCTCAAAATAGCATAGCCGGGTGATCTGAACTAGACATAGAGTACATGGAGTCGTAATGAAAATTGGAGAGCTGGCGCCATGTTCTTTGTTGACGAGTTCCGAGCCCGGTGTGCGCTGAGTTTCGGTCACTTTTTCGATACATTTTCAATCCAAAATGGCGATGTAGAGTATGTAGTAATTCCTATCCTCTTTGTCTACATCGGATGGCCGGGTGCCCGTATATAGAAAACAACCGATTTTGTATCGAAAAGGTGACCAGGCGTGACACAGGACTACAGGAGTCTCGAAATTCGGGACCTGGAAAATGCTCAAAAGATACGCCAACTCTCTCAATTACATCACAACTCTATGTGCTGAAACTAGATGCGTTTTGCCAGTGATTTAATATACAGGGTGTTCCAAAATTCCCGCATCCCCTCCAACTTTTGAACCGTTCGAGATACAAAAGAGAAACTTCGGGAATGTTTCTATCTCAAAGGAAACCATCCTTTACGGGGTTAACATTTTTGCCCCTCTCTCAGGAAGGGCGGGGGGTCTCCCACCTTTTTTTTCAAATAGTAATCCCTACCGGGGAGCAGAATTTTTGGAGCACCCTGTATGTAGGTAGCCTCAATCGTTTACATAATAATGGTAACGCTGAGAACTTAAGGTAAAATTAGAGTTAAATAATTCTTTCCTACACTCAGTCCGATTTATGGCGTTGCATTATTCCTACCACACATTCGTTTCTTCTTTTTACTGAAAAGCTATAATCATCGTCAATTCTTGAGGGTTTCGATGATTTTTTTTTCACTGAGCGACAGATATTCTGTAAAATTTAATTAATACAGGTATAGTCTATCGACTTACATAAAACATTAAGCTGTAATTTCAAACTGTACATTTTGAGGCGCACGTTTTTATAAGTAGGTCATTGGATTACGTAGTTGACGAACAGTTTAGTAATCCATAGATGCCCAAGTCGGGTCAAAAAGACCCAAGGTTTGCTAAAAAGTTTTGCTGAAAAGGCACGTGTTTTAGCCTAAAACACGTGCCTCGAGGCTTGCACGGGACTGATACATACGAACTTCAGACATACGTCTACAAAAAAATTGTAAAAGAATTATCAGACATCAAATTGAAAAAAATCACGGCCGAAGGTAGAAGAGGCGTACTCGGGCCTCCTTTTTTAAATTTTCTCCCGAATCTGAGCAACACCTCATTGACAGCGACGGTAGGAGCATTGCGAGTTTTTGCCGAGCGCTACCGCGCCTTCAATTTTGCAGACGCAACACGGACATCCATCAAGTACGAATAGTTGTATCTCTGCGCCGTCATCAACGCGCGTCCTTTCCTGTACTCTATTTCCTCGCTTCTGGGGGAGTTACATATGGATGAAAAAAAGGTCGTGAGAAAAAGCCAGTGTGGAATACAAAGGTGAAAATTTAACAAAAAGTATTTCTTACCCTCAAGAACGTATAAATAACATTGATAATACTTCAAAAACTATCAAAATCATAGTATTTACACACAGAATGATTTGATCTGACTCGGAACTTTGCGTATAAAAAAAGTCTGGGGTTGCTGAGGTTAAACCTTGTAGTCAACATTACCGGATGACGTTTCTCGACATGATTATGCTCTCCCTATAAAAGAACTCGAACTCTGTTTAAAGAATAATGTGAAAACCAATTCACGAATCATTCGCTTCCTTCGTGTTTGAACACGGTGAATGATGTTTGAGCTATTAATCGGAAAGGCACACGAGAGGAATAAGAAAAGCGGAATTTCACTTTCACAATCATCTCGATCGGCCGAGGTTGCCAAACCTCTTTGCACTGTACTTATTTAATGGAAACTTGTATTCATTCTGAGGGTAAATTTCCAAGGACGCGGCAATCCCGCAACGGCCATGAAATCAAAATCTTCCGCGGTCGCACGGGGGCCAATTAAATGCAGGCAAAAGATATTAGACTTTGAAATCGCTCGCTATAGCTTCGCGCTCGCTCCTGCTAATCTCCGCTACCAAGTTTAAAGCTTTGCGGGAGCCCGAAGCCCCGAGAATCGACGTGGCTTTGCATCAAACGTCTCTTTAGCATCTAATTAAGCTCCCGTTTGAAATTCAAGGCACAGAGGTCCGTGACGTCAGTCGGGGCTTTTCTACCCCGTGTAAAATCGGATCCCGCGCTCATCACAAAGAGGCCACTATAGACGATATTAGTACCACGTCACAGAAAAGCGATACATATCGATTTTATCGCATTGGTAGCATTGAAAGAGGTTATGTCAATGTTATTGTTTGGATCCAGTTCGATATAATGGAGAATCCCTATGATGACGTCGCCACTAATAGCGTCTATCTGCCGATAGATTCAACAATACGATCGGGATGTTTCAATGAAGGATGATGCGAGCGCATCCTCCCAGCGGGCTGATTATTGAAATCGATAGACACAGCGATAGACAAAGAAGACATAGAAAGTACGTAGCAATCCTATTGGTTGAAATGGGTGGTTCCTAGAGACCGAAGGAGGGGAATGATGGACTAACTATAGGGTTTCTCGTGGGTCACCGATATTTAGTCTATTAGCTACCTCCTATGTCCATTGCAACCACTCGCTCCCACCAAGGATCACTCCATATCCCTGTTTTCTTCTTTGTCTATAGCCTTGTCAATCAATTACAACAATCAGCCCGCTTTTTTTCTTTCATTTAAAAATTTCACCATTGGTTTTGTAGCAAAATTTCATTCATTGAGTACGTTAATTTTTTTATGATCTCTGAGTACAAAAATATCAAATTGTCTTCAACTGTTGGGTTCAATGTGCGTTTCAGGTTGCCAAGGTGCCGTTAGTCAGTCTATTACCTACCTTGTTTGTCTATAAATTTCAACAATCAGCCCGTAGTACTCGTAGAATATATGCAACCGTCCGTACGGAAGGAAACTTCTTAGTGGAGCAATTTTTATAGAACTGAGTTACAAAATGCCTTGCCTTTTAGTTATACTTCGTAAGCTCCTGTTTGAGCTCCTCACTTTCATCCTGTCACGTGACCACAACGAAAACTTTTTTTTGTTTTCTTATTTTTGAACGTTAACGCAGCAGAAAACGTTACTTTGTCCAGAGACAGTGTATTAGCGGAGAGGCTACGGAAACATGTATCTCGCTAGTAGTTATAAACAGCTCTTCTCTCAAAATTTTAAAATTATGATGGGAGAAGTTTCGTGTGACATTTTTAAGGAAAATATTTTAAAAGAGGAAATAAATATATGCACTGTCTTAAATCAAGAAACAAGGTTTTGTACGAGGGTCATCCAAAAAGTAAGGTTCGCTACTTTGTATCTTCCGAACGAAAATAGATACATCAAATCGATAACAAAACTTATATTGGACATACTTCATGATTCAAAACAAACTCAAGTTTTTGAAATTCGGTCGAAGGGTTCGCGAGAAGATTCAGTTTTACTGAGACAACCTCTTGTCGCCGCGTGCCCAAAAATCGACACGGAAAAAAAGAGGTAGGGGAGAAGTCTCAGCTTGGGCATTTTCAATTAATTGTGGTGAAGTATACCTCAATAAATTGTGATATTACCCCAATAAATTAGGTTGCGGACTTAAATGTTGCGGTATTTATTACCCCAACTTGAGTTACGGTGTTACCAACATTAATTGGAAAAGTCCGTAGCATCTTACAAACGAGGCAGTACCACTATTTTAGGGAATAACACCTAACACCTTTTTTCGTGGAGGTTAAATTCAGAGAAACGTTTCAATTAAAAATCAACTAAGGCATTACGGTCCTTCGATAGTGCGCACAACCTTTACAACACTCCAAATAGTGCCGATCAGAGAGCAATTTCGAATTCCTAC